ACACCATCTGGAGACTCCATAAGAGAAGAGCTCAAATCCTGTATCAGCAGCAGTCATCCTTAGAGTGAGCTGAAGCTCTGTCTCAGTAGCTACTTTTTCCTTCTGTGATGAGTATTTCTTCATTTAAAGGGTCTTAGCCTGCTTTATTCATTGGCTCTGATGGAATAGAGGAGTGTGGTTTCACTGAGCTTTGAGTTGGGACACTCTCGGTCAGGGGAGGATGGACTGCTCTCCTCATGTCTGAGAGATACTGGCACATACACAATGGGGTGCACTTGAAGGTGAACTGTTAAAGTGCTACTAAAGTAAAAGGTGGTTTCAGGTTTGGTACTGGAGGCTGTGATGTGTGGAAATGTCTCTTAGACATTACTTATAAATCATGGGTTTTGCATATTGACAAAGCAATAACGTCTAAAGGCAAAGGTTCCCCCAGGTTTTCCGTCAAACCCTGTTCATAACGTTCCGGGGTTCATTCATGGCATTCCTTGTTTTGTAACTAATCTCTGTGAAAGTAAAGATAGTTTTATCAGCCAGCAAGAAGCAGCACATTTGCAAAACAAATGTTTAAATGAAAATCATTGGCACGGGTACACTGGAAGGATACCTGCATTTGGGGCAAAAGACTATGCAGTGAAAGTTGTGAAAGCCTATACACTTGAAATATAGTATGTAGTAATTAAATTAGATTTAAGAGCATTTTACTAATAGAGAAGCATGTTCTGCTATACTATAGGTGACCCTGGGGAAACGTTTAAAAAGCAAGGAGTAATGCACACAGGCACATGCATTTCAGTGAATATGTGACATTTGTCATTCACATGTTCCAGCATCTATTTTGGGAATGCCTGAAGACTGATACATACTCCCCACACTCATCCCTTTCAGATACACACAACTGAAGGTTGATCACATTTAATGTGACCCATACCTTTAACTGATGCATCTCATCCATTTTTTGTCAATCTTCAAAATTGTCTGGGCTTGTCAGAAGAGCATTTTAGATTCTTTAAAAAAAATATTTATTTATTTATTACATACATACAAAGAAAAATACATTTAAATGAATTATAAAATTAACATTATAATAATATATATGAAAAAGGTAAAAAAAAGCTTACACAAATACAAAGTGGAAAAAGAAAGAGAACGAAGATATACCAACAAAAAAGAAAAAGGAAAGGAAAGAAAAAAAAAATAGACTTCCTTCAACCACTATACAGTTTATATGATCTCATATCTTAAGTTGTCTGTAATCATTTTGAACTTTATGGCAAGACAATTTGATTACCTGTGGAATTTTTAGTCTAGACTAAGCCAGTCATAATTTTGAGAACCAGGTTTCTTCTTATAGTTTGTAAAGACACCCCATTCTCTCCAGCTTTTTTCACTTGGTTGGTTTCTTACTATTTCTGTTAGTTTTGCCAGTTCGAGGTATTCACTTAATTTTAATAACCATTCTTCTTTTGTTGGAATTGTGTTGCTTTTCCACTATTTTAGATTCTTAGGCATTCATAGAACTTTTATAGTAAAAATAACAATTTAAGATGTATTTCTTTACGCAGGTGACTATTTTCAGCCATTCATTCCCCTTATGCAAAGACTGTCACCATTATGATAGTCTACAATCTGCAAAGTCCACCTGTACAAATGCCATGTGTGGAAGCCTGGCGGAAATGGCCTGCATCAAAGCAATGATGCTTCGTGGCCTGTGCCCATAATGCACAATGTTTTCAGAAGCAAATCTCTCTCTTTCTTCCTCCTTCCCTCTCTCTTTTGACACAATACGTTAAACACAGGCTTCTTTTTAAGCTTCGACCAGAACTGTTAACAATAATAATCATTTGCTTCTGTTTACTATTTAGAGTCAGTTAAATTTAGTTCCTGTACAGAAGGTTTTTTTCCCTCCTTTTTTGATGTAAATTGTCTGAGACAGCTCATAATAACCTGGCTTGGTGTTTTTCAAGCACCAACCATCCAAGGCAGTGAAAGCCCAGGGGCCTCTGGTGTGCAGGTCTTTGCAAATCGGAAAAACAAGCCATATGACCCTGGAGGTGGTTCTTTCAGGTAAAAAAGAAAAGCAGGAAAGGAGAAAAAGAAAAACCTCGCTGTTCCTTCATTTTGAGATGCAACACCAGAGGGCAGTGTTTTTACAGGAATTATGAGGTGCACGTTTAAGCTTTAAACTGTTTAATCTCCCCCTTTAAAACCATACATTCAGATTCCCCCCCCTCATAATTTCAGGAAATACGAAGGATTTTCTAAGAATTAGTTTTGACATACATGAAATCTAGATGCTGTCCTCCTCCCACCTGTCTTTCCTAGACCAGAATAGGAGATGGAACTTTGCTTGAGAAGAGATTTGACTAGTTGGGGCAGCAGGACAGGTTGTCTCCACAGAGAAAGCTGAAGATACCAAACTGAAGAAAGTTCTGGAAAGTCTGAAAGTAATTGTGCTGGAGGAGGGGGCGACTGCAAGGGTGCCATGGCCTGTTGCTACCATCTGTCTGTGTTGTTGTTGCCGTCACGACCACCACCATCTCAATTTCTTAACCACCTTTCACCCAGGGTGGTGCCAACAATTTAAAAATACAATACTAAAAACAGTTTAAAGCAAATCACACTCATTGTCTGTGTGGCTAGAGCTCTTGATGTATGAAAAGTACATAGGTTGTAGATTTGGGTTTGTTACTACAATTTAAAATCCTTGCTCCATAGACATTCGAAAAGACATAAGTGTGTCCCTCCAAACCCTGGTATTGATCCACTGCTGCTCTGCTGAATGCTGAAGTATTTTAGTTAGCTAAGTTGGCAGGGTGTCCTGCAATCCTGCTGATCTGACAGTTCTTTTTTTAAAAAAAAATATTTTTATTAAGGATTTTCTTGTTTTACAGAAGTAAGTGTAATGCCTCGTATTTTTTTTCCATGTAACATTTTTACAAATCCATTTCATTTGTTGAGGCATTAGGGGGAGAAGGAAAAAAAAGAGAAAGAAAGGAAAAAGAAAGGGGGAGTGGGGGGAGGGAAGATGGATGGGGGTGGGGTGGGTGGCAATGTTTCTATTATCCTTAATGTATGTAGAGTTTGGTGTCAGCGTTACTTGTGTTCCTTTGGTGGTGAGAGAGGTTGGGGTTGGCCTAGGGTGTGATTGGCTGTGGTGATCTTTGTTTTCGTGTGTGAGTGAGGTGGGTCGGTGTTTTGGATCAGGTTAGCCATATTGATTTGTATGCTGTTGGTGGATTATTGTCATTGTCTTGTTGGGCTGTGTATGTGATAAAGGGGAGCCATACCGGGGTGAAGGCGTCTTCTTCTGTTTGTCCCCGTGTCAGTTTCAGTTTATTAGTTAATTTTTCTAGTAGAGCTGTTTCCCATACTATTTGGTACCATTGGTCCATGCTTACTCCTGACAGGTCTCTCCAGTGTCTGGTTATGGTGTTTCTGGCTGCTGAAAGTAGGTGGGTTATGAGTTCTTTGTGGTGTAAATGGGCATTGTTGTCTTGGAAGATGTTTAGTAGGGCCAATTCTGGGGTGACATCTAATACTTGCTTTGTTATTTTACATATTTCTCGTATGGCTGTTGTCCAGAATAGTTGGATTTTGGGACACTCCCACCACATGTAGAGGTATGTGCCTGTGGAGGTGCACCCCTGATCTGACAGTTCTGAAAAAACTGAAGGGTTTGGGACATTCTCATGCTGCTGAAATCCAAGAATTTTTGTTCAGCTTCGGTTGGCGACTGGAGAGTGGAGTTCCTGTATCCTTCCTTTTGAATCCTTTTGGCACGTCAAACCTCAACTCGCTGCAAATTAATGAACCGGCAGAGCCTTTTGCAGGTTGGATTAAAGCAGAAGTGGGGAAACCTCAGTTCTGGGGCCAGAATGTGGCCTTTGAAATGCTCCCTGGTAATGCTCTCTATGCAGGCCACATCCATTTCTCCCAAGCCCTGCTTTTTACTGGCCTGTTCTGTGCTCTCCTGGGGTGCTTTTTCTTGGCTGGGATAATGCCTTTGTCTGGCCGGCTGGAGGCTAGAGTGGTGAGTGTGTGTGTGTGGAAACATCTGACTTCTCCATGGGTGGAGAGTAGCCTGCTTTACAAAGGCTAGAATCACTTTTGTTGCTCCACCTACATATGCACCTGGCCCCGCCCAGCAGTAGCACAAGGACCCTGGAAAGCTACCTGTGTCATGAATTCCATGGGGATGTCATAGAGGTCAGATTTTGAGGAGCAATGGGAGTTAGAACAGGATGGGGGAGATGAAATCAAGACCCCAAGAAGTACCTGAATCCAGTGAGGGGGCCCAGAAGGGAGTGGAGAGCTGTTTCCAAGGGCTGGCAGAGGCAGGTTCTGCCTCTGTAACATCGGACATCCCTCATTAGATACTTCCTGCTTTGGAGTCACAATTGGCACCTCTTTGAGAAGTCTTCTCCTTCTGAGGAGGTGATGGAGAGTAACTCGGATGCTCAGCTGGTGTTGCCATTGTTTCCATCTCCAAAGACACAACCAACACAGTGCTGAGCTGCTGCAAGCAAACCTCATAGGCCCAACCCACATGTTCACTTGCCCAGTCCTGGGGCTCTGGCTGCTTTCATGCTAAGAGGGGTGCCTGTTCCACTCTTCAAAAGGAAAGTGCAGAGTGTGTGCCACTTTTTGGATCAACATCTTAGCTTGCCCTTAGCCATGTATCTATACCTTTAAAAAGGTAACATAATGACTACTACTAACAACCCAAAAGTGAAGCTGCAGGGTTACTGCATCATGCTATATACAAAGCAAACAAGCAATAAATAGTAAGAGAAAGAAATGGTGACACATCAATATAACTCAAGACCTCTATATTTCCCCAGCTGGTGTGGATGGTGAATGTTGAGCATCTAAGACTGAAGCATAGGAAATAAAGTCCCACAGATGACATAAAAGCATTCTGGATCCTTCATGCCCTTGGAGACACACAGTTTCTGTGTCATTTTTTCCACAACAGTCCAAGTTCATAAGTTCTTATACCAGCACAGGAGTTGGGATAGCTCAGTCAGTAGAGCATGAGACTCTTAATCTCAGGGTTGTGGGTTTGAGCCCCATGTTGGGTGAAAGATTCCTGCATTGCGGGGGGATGGACTGCATGACTCTCATGGTCCCTTCCAACTCTTTAATTCTATGATTCTATAACACACTGCCAAATGTATACAGCAGAACCTCTACTTACAGATGTAATCAGTTCTGGAGGTCCATCTGTAAGTCGATCCGGGTCGCTGGTAGAAGCGCCGTTGTGTGCAGGCGCATTCGGCAGCAGCCACTTCTGCACGTGCATGATTCACGGCAAACCTGGTATTTACTTCCGGGTTTGCTGCGGTCACAACTTGGATTGGGCCTAAGTAGAAGTGATTGTAGGTAGAGGTTCTACTGTATTTTTCAAGGCTTTCCATTGCTGGGCTATTGTAATCCCAGCTGTAGCTAACATCTATGTTAAAAGTTCGTTAGAGTGACAAGCTTTCATGTTGTCCATCCCCATAGTCAGTAGTAACAGTTGTGGGAGGCCAGAAGTGCCTATATCTCTTCTGTACCTGCTGCATCATATAACCTGTGCCTTGCCTTTATACTGATCTGATTTACGCATTAAAATATTTGGTAGATACCAAGCCGGGAGTTCCAGTTCTCTGTCTGGCCACGACAACATGTGACAGAATGTGGACTTGGAGATGAGAATGGTTCCCAGCCCTGAATGGAAGAGGATGTGCAGCCATTGGCTGTGCCTCGGCTCTGAGGTAGGTCCACCTCGCAATAAGAATGGCAGCTTCGTTGAGCATTAATCTAAGCCCATTTGGCATCTATTTTCCAAGGCCCTGGCCTCCAACAGAGTCTTTAAAAAGTCTGTCGGGTTCACTTGTACTGCCCTAATAATTTTGTGTTCAGGGAACAACACAGGCATTTCTTCTTCATTAGCTTTCAGTTTTTAACATATTTCTCCACCCGCCCCCCCCAAGAAAGCATTTTGCTTCTCCTAGATGTTTTAAATGTAGCCAAAATTGATTCTTGCATTTGCTTAGCTTATATGTAGGATATATTATGCCAGTAGAAATTATTAATTTTCCTGTGGGGAGAAGCAAATGCTCAAGGCACTGATTGACAAATCAATAAATCTTTAGTGAGTTTGGTAAATAAGCTGTCAAGCGTGTATGTCGTTTCCACCCCCCCACCCCCCTAGAGAACAGATTTGAGCGAGCAAATGTGGTTCCCCTCCTTCCATTGTTTTTGCTCCTTCAAAACACTAAGAAGCGATTCTGCAGCATTTGAATAAGTCCATAAAATTGCGGGGAATTATTAAACAGCAATAGAGATCAAGCTTTGCCTTGATAATCCTAACAAAGGATTCAGTGTTTTGCCAATTTGCATTTCAACCCCTAACCCCTCCTGAGGACAAATGGATGTCTGACGATGGCGCCCCCAGGGCAGAGAGCTGGAAATCTGTATTAAGCCTCTGAATGCTGACTAGTTTCCCTCAACATTCCCAGCGTGTGTGAAGAATGTGTTTGTGCCCAGAAGGCAAACTGGCATCGAAAGCCGAGCAAGGATTTTGAAAAATAGTAGTGTTGTGTATAAATTTATTTTGCCTGTAGTGGTTTTATTATGGCATATTTTCTTCATTACTTCATAGCGTACTTTTTCTTTGAAAGTAGTTCAGGGTTTTTCTTAGCCACTTGGGCAAAGGGGTCTGCTGGTCAGAAAGAGAGGGTGAAGGTTGCTGTGCCCGATGGGTGGCCTGATCCTGTCCATGCTTACTCGGGAGTAAGCTCCATCCAAGGAGACAGACTCTTTGATCAATGTCTCTCGTCATGATTTTTTGAGTTGCATTTCTCTAACATAAAAGATTTTTTAGTCTCTAACGAGATCTCCTTGAGCAATGATGCAGAAACATCTACTGGTCCAGAACATGACTCAGAAACACCTACTGGTCTGAAATGCAGTGGCCAGATTACTGGCGGAGGTTGCCTTGAGGATCCCTGCTTTAAACCTGCTGCATTGGTCGCCAGTTCATTTCCAGGCCCACACTCCCATTTAAAGCCCTAAACAACTTAGATTGCAAATATCTGAGATACTGTCTTCCCTACAGACCAAAGGAATGTGTTCATGGTGAGTTCTGGCACCTCTTTTTCTAGAAAAATAACACTAGTTTTAACCGTTTTTAATCCTGTATTTTAAGTTGTTGTAACCTGCCCTAGGACTTGTTGGTGATGGCAGGTTTAAAATTTAATATTACTATTACTAATATTAGTAGAACGACTACTAAAAATTATATGAGCCTCACTGTCCTTCTGGGATCGAAGTCTCAGGGACAACCATGGGAAGTGGCACTGAGAAGCTGACATCTGCATGATCATCTAGTTCGGAGGATCTTTTGGATCACCGACGAATAGTCAAGAAGGGAGAGCCCTGTCATTGGCCAGAGAATGTATTCTCAAGAAGACACAAGTGGGACCCCGGGTTTAAACATACGAAAAAGAGCAGCCACAAGGGACCAAGGAAGTGCATATCCTTCATCATGTCCAGGCCAAAAACTGGGATGCATGTCTTTAGGGCCATGCTGCTGTGCGATTTACATGACCAGCACAAGAGCACAGAGTCCATGTGTTTTTGTACTCCGTGATTTTGTGCAATCTCTCACATTTTTGGATGCCATGCTGTTGCACGAGGGCATGGCCCCCTAAAACGGCATGTCCTGATTTAATTGGGACACTTGAGGGGTATGAGACTGCTGTAGTCCCTCCTTGACACAGCTGCTAAGGAGAGATCATTATGAGGACGGATTTGGCATCCAGACGGCTAATATGTAGAGAGGTCATTAACTGATTGAGGAATCTGGAATAAGGCAGCAGCTTTATGGAGCTAGCCAGGTCAAAGTTTGCTGTGGAATTCAGTAGGCCCAAGAGTTTTTGCCACGCGCTTCCCATACTTCCAGGTCCAGAATCCTACTGGATGGGCAGCTGAACCATGCTTCAGCACTGGCAGGGTCCTGTGTCACAGCTAAGGACCACAGGCTTAGTGGTGTACAGGCCAGGCCTGGTGTGTAACTGAAACTACCTTCTTTGGTTGTACCTAGGTTAGCAGGTACCCACTCAAATGAATTGCTTTTCACAAATAAATGCAACTACTGAAGTTCTCCTGACCAGTGGCGTAGCGTGGGGGGTGCAGGGGGGGCCGGCCGCACCGGCCGCAACATCTGGGGGGGGGCGTGCTTGCACTCGCAGCTCTCTGCCCCCTGCTAAAATCCACGGGTTAGGGGGCGCAAATTACTTGCCTTGCCCCGGGCGCTGACAACCCACGCTACGCCACTGCTCCTGACCCATGTTGTGTCCTACTAACAAGGCAGACACATTGCAAGATGCCCTCACAAACTGAGTACCCTTCCCAAAGCCACAGGATCCTGCACCTGGTGACCGGAATACCAAATACCTGTGAAGACTACTTCTCTCAACTGAAGCAAATGAGAAAACATTAATGAGGTTGTAAGGAGATGGGTTGGAAGCCATCTGTGTTGATTTTTTGTTGGTTGAACTTGACGATGAGCAAACAGCATGGGTTACGCAGTGGCAGCAACAGGGTTTCCACCAGTCCCAGCAACAGGTTGGGAAATAAATGAGGTCATCATGGGTGAGAGGCTGATTTTAAGAGCAAATGGAGTAGGCAGGAGAGGGGAGCTAAACCCTCATTCTGCAAGTTACCTCCTTGAGGTCTTCTTGTTTTATGAGTTTGGGGGAAGGTGAGTCTAGATGATACCCAGGACCCCTTTCAGTCTTTTGACCCTGTGTAATGTGGGGTAGAATCTAAAGGAGGAAACCAGCTAAACCAGTTCTTTTTTTACAGGTAATGTACTTAGCTGACCAGTTAAGTGCTGCCATTAAGATTAGAAAAAGGTTGCCCTGTTGCTGGAGAGAAAAATGGATGGGCCCTTTCTCACCTAGCTGGATGCCATGTCATCCTAGGATGGAGAACCGTAGGGGGGCTGTTCATGCCATAGTGTGTGAGAGTTTGGCTGTTGCTGGAAGCTGGAGATACAGAAGCATGTATTGAGCTTTATTAACTAAACCTTACTCCTGCCTCTGTGCTGGACTTGAGGCTCCCCTGGACACCGAATGGAGAAGCAAGATCTGTTGCGGTATTAAGGCTGTGAGCCCTTTCATCCTATATGCGTAAATGAAACACTATTCCCTAAGGACACCGCCCTCTCCACGGACCTTCATTCCAAGGAAGATGAACCCTGGGAAAGCACAGGCAACCCTGGAGATTCTTGCTGCTGGCACTTAACAGTATTTTGATGGTCTATATGTTGCATTTTTAGCTGAGACGACCTCCTTAGGTGAATGGAGATACCTAGATTTAGGCAACAGGTTTGCCAGCGTTGTGGCGAGCTTCACCCTAGGTTGAAATGTTGCGATGATGATATATCAGCATGTGGTGAAGCACTGGAGTGGCGTCTACCACTGGGTGGCATCTGTGTTCCATCCAATACCTGCTGGAAAGCAACTAGCAGGAGTGGACTGATGGGAATCGGTTGAGAGGAAACGTTTTGTGGCGTCTCGTTCAGCTCCTTACCTCAAACTCAGTGTCGCATTGAGATATTTTGGAGCTGGAAGTGGAGGCCAGATACCCCACCCTTTCAAAAGCCTTGCTGCAGCATTCAGGCATGGACTCTGATGCCTGCCTTCATCTTCCATGATGTTGCTTGAAGGAGGTCATTCCACCCCAACACAGACCGTGATCAGCCTCTTTCTTTCACTACCCTGTTTCAAAGAAATGTACCAATTTGGTTCTCTTGCTGCATTCAGACAACACTTTAATTCTGTTTCCCCAATGTTTCCTTACCTGATAATTTCCACTTTTTATGCAATCTTCTGCATGACAAAAAGGGCACTGGAAATCCAGTGGAATCTAATGCAGGTTTAGCACTCATTTCCATAAGGATTGCCTCCAAGGGGAAAAAAGTGTTTGCAACCCTCTTAATTTGGGAAATCATGGGGGTTTTGTGCCTTAATTTTCCTGTTGTTTTCATGGATTACACCATGTGACGAAATTCAGGGCAGTATTCCGTAAT